AATCCCACACTTGACAGTTGATCGCTGAAGATATTAGCACCTTGATAAAAATTACAGTTGTTCATTGGATGTGCTAAAAGAAAATGAAAAAAGAAAAAAGAATGCTGCTTTATTTACAAATCACAGTTTTCCTCACAGTGTTAGACTTTGGATCACTCTGATGTGGCCATGCCTTAAGATGATGGGCCATTTGGTTTTTCATTTGACCTCTAGCAGTCCACATGGACCAGTTGGTGGAGCTCCAGGATCAGAACCACAGGTAGCCAAGTTATTGCTAAAGTGCTACTGTATTAAGAAGGTGCAATTAACTGGGTTAACTAATATGTACATTTCAGGCTTAGTCTCTTTTAAAACCAACAACTTCTAACAACATGTTTTTATTTTTTCTCCCACAAAATCTTCATTGAGAATTATGGTATCACTGCACCAGAAAGACATCTGGCAGGTCGAATACTTTTGTGATCTGAACATAAGGTATATTTGCATTTTTGTCTCACTAATGCAATCGGTTCTTATTTCAATATGTTCCCATATGTTAATGGACTAGAAGATAATTATACATTATAGACTGATATGTTTCGTGATCCTATAACTTGAGAAGTATTTCTCTAGTTCATGCTGGCAGGGAGATTATTAGGAAGATTTTTTTTCAGTGGACTAATTAGCTAAATTGATCTACCTGTTTGACAGTCTAAAACTACAGGTTGTTGGCAAATAAGAAAATTGATATATAGAGAAAATATACAAGTTCCTTTTTGTGTTTCTAAGTAATAGATTACCTTGACCCTGACCTTGGTTCTATGATAAATTTGGATAATCATTTCTGTACTCATGGTTATTCATTCACTAACTTTGAAATGTTAAAAAATATAAGGGGTTTTTTATCACCTCAAGTTTAATTATAAATAGATTAGTAATAGTCACCAATCCTCAGCCATAAACTATTAGCAAAATTTGGCCATTGTAAATTTCAATCTTACTTCACAAAAAAAGTGAACTCTTAAGTCATACACGGGTTCTGGACTTCATTGAATCTGGTTGTTGTGCTCACATAAACCATTACAATGACCTTGTTACTAAGGAAGGAGTCAAGGGGGGGAATGTCAGAACCAGAGATTGATCTGGTCAATTGTATATCCAAGGGTGCTTTGCCTTTTTGCTGTGACCAGACTGAAATCCTAGTCAGAGGCAAGCTGATGTGATCAAAGGTGTCCCTGCTTGTCCCAAGTCCTATTTGCACTCTATGAAATTCATTAGTAGTAGTACAAAGTCACATTCTATCAAATGGAGACCCCATAGTCACAGAACTATCCATGACTACTAATATTTGAAAAACTTAAATTCAATTTGTTTACTCTCACTATCGAATCCTACCAGTACTAGAGACTAAATGATTTTAACTTTAAAGAGTGTTTTTAAAGCAGCAAAGGACAATATTTGGTTTTATTATCATCAGTGTCTCTTGGGAAGTTGTATGTACACAAATTTCATATAATACATCAACAGCTCCTTGTCCAGGTTTATCAGTGAAATGAATGGACCTGATTTTCAACTGTGTCTTAGCTTCTATGGCAAGCTTCCAGGCTATCTATATATCAAGTTTAGAATTAGACTTTAGTTGCTTGAATAAGTGTTTTTCTTATCTGTGACTTAGAAAAATTAGTATTAATGAAACCAAAAAGACTGATTAATGTAACTACAAGTAATGAACACTACTAGTTAAGAAAGATTAAATTTAAAACTTCCTTAGAAAGGAAAAGTATATTATCAGAATAAGGATACGTGGAGAATATAAACATATATGCCTGTTTCACGCAGAAAGCCTTCTGTAAAAAAATACGAAAGCAACCAGTGCTGTATATTATGTAAACTCACAAAGTGTACTTTATACACAAACATGAAGCATAAATTAAAAGTAGGACAACAGCAAAACATTTTAAATATAGAATTTGCACATATTTTTGTTAAATAAGAATAAATATTTTTATCACACAAATTCACATACCAGTCGCAAAAACAATAAATTACTTTTTTTTCAGTGCTGCAACTTTATTTTTGTTTGTGATAAATCCCTTAATTCTTAGTTTAATGGGATAAAACTGTTTCCACAGGAAGGCAAAGGAAGTTGAATTGACTGAATAGATCAAAATAACACCCTTAAACCTTTAAACAACAAGGCAGGGCTTAATTTGGCCTTTTCTGTTCCAGAAGAAAGAAATGCTGTTTTCTTCTGGGCTCCCTTTTTTCAGTGAAACTTAATCTGGAGTGTTTCGTTTTGTGGGATTAGATTCCTACTAACCTGAGCATTTTCAGACAAACTTTTTTTTTTTTTTCCCAAGGAAGGAGCCTCAGCATCATGAATCTCAGACTCTTCTTTTCACGATGCAAGTCTGTAAAGGTGAAATGAATAGTCCAACATCCAACTGGACTGAACTAGATTTCATTATGGAGGATTTTCCCTTTATCATTCTTTGTATCTACTGAACACTCCATTTCTCTGAATTTCAGTTTCTAGTCTATATAGTTTTTCTCAGGAGTTTAGATAGACATACATTCCTCAGTCAATCTATTGATACTCATATGAAAAAACTAAAGAAAACTCCTTAAAAGCATGGAATAGTGGTTTATTCCTTTTAAGCTCTCTAGACTTGTTTCATTGAGAAGTGTAAAACTTCTTTATATGCGGGAAAATAATGATAGGTCATGCTAAAAACCTCTAGGAATACAGTAGAGAGGAGCAGAGTAGGAGACAAGCATGTTTGCCCTTCAGTTATTTCTTAATGTTGCTGTGAATATAGCCACAAAAGATAAAAATAAACTTTATCAGAATTGAGTTAATTGATAAAAATTATTTCAAAAATTGGGAAAAAGTAACGTTGGCCTCACTATTAATTCTCTCGGAATAGTTAAATAGTTGGTGTAATTTAAAATTTTTCTTCTGACTGATTTGACTAGCTTCCTTCCGTCTGCCTTTTATCTGGTGACCTCCATCAAATGTATGGAGGCCAAAAGTTCTATATGGGCCTCATTTCCCTAATTAATAATTTATTAAGAAAAATGACCACGTCTAAAGCAAAGACAGTCTATGAAAAGCCAAAGGATGATTATCAGTTTTGTAGAACAATTATTTGTTTTACCAAATAATTGGTAAAACAGTGAGACATCCATTCTCCTCGCCCACTAAAATGAATGTGATATAGCTAGATCAATTATATAATTCTTTTATATTAAAAATATCTTCTAATAAAAATAAACTCTTGTGAGCTTAAGGGAACTCAAACAATGGTCCCCTAACATCTTTATATGCAAATCTTTAAGAGTAGGCACATTTGGTATGATTATTATAAAAATTTATAACAAACAATTGGCTTTGTAATATTTCATAAAGAAAAAGGAATTCCAATGAAATTGAACACCTTGGATTTTCTGAGCTATGGGGTGGAGGGGTGCAGTTTACTGTTTAAAAAGGGATTTTTATGCATGTGATTGTAAAACTTTTCCATATCTAATATCCAAACTTAACAACCTACCTAGACAGACTACAGAAATAGAAGAGACAAACTTCTCAAAAATCATCACATTTCATCACTCAAACACTTAGGGGTACAACCAAATGCTTTCCAATTGGGAAAAATCTTAAGTACAGTATCAGTATACTTGGATTTAAAAAGAAAATGCAAAGAATTATTGCCTGTAAGGTGTGGAAACAGTCTTATTAATACTAACCACTATTTTTTTTTTGCATGAGCCACATTAATGATAACCACTTCTAGATGTGGCTAACTACAAAGTGATCTTTAATACTCCTATCAAACTAAGTCAACAAGAAGTACAAAACATTGTAGGTCTTACAGAACCCTTAAACAGACAAGCAAAAACAAACACATTTTAAAGGCTTGCTGGTAAGAGGTATACCAGTGTTGAAGGTTTTGGATGCGAACAGAAAACTCTCTGCAGTGTGTTTTGTATGAATATTACACAATATAAGGTATCAGATGAAAGCTTCCGAACGGGGAAATTGGTGTGAAAATATAAATCGAGACTATGGTGAAATACGGTTTTTTTTTTCCTCTTAAATTCTAACATGAGGAAACTAGTTTTTAGGGTGAGAAACTAGTTTTCAGACTCTTGAATACTCATAACATACACACACGCAAACACTATTTCTACATCCTAATTATGCATCAGTTCGGCTGGCTGCCTAAAAAAATGCAGGCAGTCAAAAGTTTAAGGAAATGGACCCGTGTATGTATTTAAATGACTAGATACACTGAGATCCTTTTTCTTCTTAGAATTTCTCAGAAGATGCTTGCTGTCAAAATGGTTTTTGACTAAAATTTGATCTCCTGTAGTCTGAAAGTATGCGAAATCTTATTAAAACTGCAGCAAGTTCTTAATTTCCAGTAAAACATCCACAGCTCTTTCTGGAAACCAGAAGAAGTTGAAATAGCTGCAGACCTACTTTGGTCAAACATTTTTTATAGAAATATGTGTGTGTGTGTGTGTGTGTGTGTGTATACACACACATATTTTTTAATAGAACCAAGTGATATAAAGTGACATATCAAGGGAGAATGTATGTACAAACAGTAAAAATAAGCTACTGTGTATTGTGGATGATAATGATTATGATGCCTTTGAAGACATTCTAGAAGAGGTAGGTGACAAGGGGGAGAATGGTGTTCTGCCATCTTCAAATGTCCCCTGATTCTACATTCATCAGTGTTTTTTCATTCTTGTAGCCCAGGGGATGTTCAATAACTCCCAAGTGTTTCTTAGATTCCAAGGTCACCACTGTTCACACGGAACAGTGCACATCTTCCTTTGGTCACCGAGAGCAGATTCTGCCCATAATTAGACTCCAGTTGACAATGCCATCGAAGTGCGACTTTCTGTGCTTTACATAGACCTCTCGTTCACCACGATGGATCACCACCATTGGCCAGGACTGCTCTGTGATGAGACGCCCAGTTATCTCTGCAGAACATCATCACCACAGGCTAACATTTCTTGAGCAAACATTGCTTAAACGCGGAAGGCCTCTGAGAGAGAAGGCATCCCTTTGCTAACTTGCGGTTGGCGTCCTGGCACTGCACCGTCCTGGTGTGCCAGCCCGTGTCACAGGTTCGAGAACAGGCAAGCCATGGGCCTGTCACCCACTGCAGCTGTGGACTGGGTGAGCCCACTTTATTGCTGCCATGGCCGGTGACAGAGTTGACTTTTGGGGTGGACTTCTTGGGAACAAAAAAACTGTAACGGACATCTAACGCTTTAGTTGGATCGGTTGCAAGAATCTGCACTATGAGAATTTCCTTCGTGGCTGAGTAGCCCATCCCGTGCAAGAAGTCATCCCTGTGGCTCCAACCGCTGTAGTTCATGACGGTTCCATTGATGTCGATGATGGTTTCTGAGGTGGAGATCATGTACTTTCCATTGATAAGGTACTCACCGTTTTTCTTCTTCAGGGCTAAGTAGGCAGTGAATCGAGACTGGTCTTTGGCTTTGAACTGTCGGACTTTTATGTGGGTTGCGCCTTCGGGGATCCTCACCACGTCAGTGTAACCCTTACTGGAAGCAAAAATGTCCCCAGAGGAGAGATGGGGGGAGAGAGAGAGAGAAAAGAGAGACAGAGAGACAGGGAGAGAAGGAAAAAATAAGTAAACACTTAATAAATGGATAAACAAATCAAAATTCTCTAGAAGTCTTACTTAATCTTAACACAAAGTTTTAATGTAGTTAAGAAATTCATTTAAAATTGGCTTCAAAGATTAGTTTTCTTCTAACAAAATAAAATTACAATTAGACTATGATATTGTATACATTTTATTATGATGTTCAAAATTAGGATGATGTTAGCAACCTGCCTTTTTTAAAAAAATGCATGCCAACTTACAACATCCTTATCAAATCCTATCGTTCCAGCACAAAATGGGATATATGTAAACATAAACAAAAATCTGCCCTCAATCTCATAGAAAGCTTTAAATTAATGTGTCTCAAACTCATTTGCATATTAAAATCATGTGGAGATCTTTTAAAAATTTAAATCCCCAGACCCCAGGCCAATTAAATCCCATCTGTCAGGATGGGGCAGAGGCAGCAGGACTTTGGGAGTCGTTCCAAATGTGCAGAGTAGTTGGGGAAACATGGATTTAACTGTTGAACTAGAGACAGAGTAGAAACTCTGCTTCTATTTCTACTAGAACACTGGATTTCTTGAGCAGACAACACATGAAATATAAAATTCTGTAAGTGGGTAACCATAGCTTACCAGTATCATCAAAAGAAAAAAAAATGAATCTTTAATGCCATAGCAAATTTCCTCGGATACATCATGTCCACGAACATTATGATAGATTGAGTGAGCTTATATGATGGGTGACAAATAAAGTAGGTCTCTAATGAGCCATCATCTCCTCAGGAAAATGGGCAAAGGCATCAATACCTCTAGTATTGATCACAGGTTTTGAAAAAGGCTAGGACAGAAATACTAATTAAGTGCCAAGGGACCACACCAGTAAGGAGTCATTTGTGAAACTCTTTGCCTCTATAAGCAATTTTATAATAAGGTCACCGCATGTTTTGCTTTCTTAGTTATTTGAATATAAATAAATAAATTGTGAAGTTTGATGTGTGTGAAATTTAATTACCTACTGTTAAATTCTTATTCAGGTTTAGAGGTGATAGGGCAACTGATTCATACCCTGAAAATCCAAGTGTATTTTCCCTGCCCCGCCATTCCCTCTGAATTAGAGGGGAGGCTCCTCCCCGGGGAAGCCCACTGTCTACTGAGCATCTGATGGACAAGGACTGACAGCTACACAGCTGTCAGAGTTTCTTACCGAGTTGGGAGAGAGAAGATACAATACTGATGATATTGCTTATCCAGTCAACGTGACTCATCACTTTTAGTTTTGTAAGGCATTTTGGATGAGGATTTGTTACAGGACTTTTTTTTTTTTTAATATCTAATAGCAAGAGGTCATATGCAAACCTACAGTGGCTTCAAACAAAACTGGGAGGGATGTTGGAGAGAGTATCTCGTCTTACACGGAAAACATATGAAGTGGAGGTATATTAAAGTATTTGAACAAGTGCACTCTAGATCCAGTGGCAGTGCTAGGCTCAAAAGCCATGGCCCCTTACTCCTAGTTTACTCCTTTCCCGATATCCCCCAACCCCTTACCTCGGCCAGTCATACTTTCTAACAGTTACATGAAAATATGTTCTGTTTCTATTCAGAGTTTAAATGATACCTATCATGGTGTAAAGCAAATAAAGAATGCAGGGTAAGGGAATCAGGTAGGAGAGCTTTTTTTTCTATCCTTATTCCTGAGAGCCTGTCTCAGATTCATGAGAATCCGTTGGGATTGTCAGCATGGCAGGGGTCTTCAGTCTGAGCTTCATAAGGCAACGGTCAGTGGGAGGACTGGTGCCTTGATCTCTTAGTGCCTTGATAAAATATGATTCTCTTGTTCTCCTGGTACTGAGCAATGGAAGGACTGAGTTGCCATGTATTGAGATGAAGAGCATTGAGAGAGGGATGAATTAAGGTAGGGTCATATTTGTGAAGAGGTTTGAGCTTGATGAAATATTTTCTTTTTTTTAAGATTTTGTTATTTATTTATTTGAGAGATAGAGAATGAGAGACAGAGAGCATGAGAGGGAGGAGGGTCAGAGGGAGAAGTAGACTCCCCGCTGAGCAGGGAGCCCAATGTGGGACTCGATCCTAGAACCCCAGGATTATGACCTGGGCGAAGGCAGTCGCTTAACCAACTGAGCCACCCAGGCGCTCCAATGAAATATTTTAATATGCATGATCTCACTGGATCCTTACAGCAATATTAACTTGCAAGAAAATTACTATTAATTCCACTCAACTCTCAAGAATTCTGATAGTAAAAAAAAAAAAGTGATTCTTGTGAGATCACACAGATCTCGATTACAGAGATTTCAGCTCCAAGATCAGTGTCCTTTTTTATACATCACAGTAGGCCAAGGTAATTTATTTGGAAAAGTTAAACAGATCACTTGTACCACATAATATAATCTTGGTCAAATCAGTTTGCAAGCTATCAGGTTGCCCACCGCTTGTCACTATCAGGAATTCCTTCATCTTTTTATGGGACAACACATGTGCAGATACTGGTTGCTAATCGAAAAAACAAAATGCCAAATTTAGTATTTATTTTTAATAAATAAATAGCCACTTTTTATGGCTTGTAAGTTTATGTAGAAAGAATAAACATCACATTTTATTAGTACATAAGGTATTTTTTTTTAAAGATTTTATTTATTTATTTGACAGAGAGAGACACAGCGAGAGAGGGAACACAAGCAGCGGGAGTGGGAGAGGGAGAAGCAGGCTCCCCGCCGAGTAGGGAGCCCGATGTGGGGCTCGATCCCAGGACCCTGGGATCACGACCTGAGCCGAAGGCAGCTGCTTAACCAACTGAGCCACCCAGGCGCCCCAGGACATCAGGTATTTTATTTCCTATTTGATTCCTGAATTTCTTTCTCTTCCTTCCTTCTTTCCTTGTTTTTTTTTTTTTTCTTCTTATAACCTAAGGTATAGCCTTTGCTTTGGCATTCATCAGCCATGCAAAATTAGATAAATCCTAAACTTTCAGAGTCCAAATTTCGTCATTTGTAAAACAACAAGGCAGACTTCATCATTTCTAAGGTGTCTTGCACCTTTGCAATATATAAAAATGCAGTATATGATCGACAGGTGGGGTATTTTATAAAGATAGCTCAATACAACTGGATGACTAATTACTAAATCAGGGGCGCCTGGGTGGCTCAGTCTCCGCTCGGGTCGTGATCCTAGGGTCCTGGGATCAAGCCTCGCATCAGGCTCCCTGCTCAGCGGAGAGCCTGCTTCTCCCTCTCCCTCTGCCTGCCACTCTGCCTACTTGTACTCTCTCTCTCTCTCTCTCTCTGTCAAATAAATAAATAAAATCTTAAAAAAAATAATTACTAAATCACTAGCAAATAGGATTAGTAATGCGTATTTAAACTCAGAATAAATTCTTCAGCCATACAATTTTTTTATGATATCAAGGATAATTTCCAGTTTTCCACAATAACATGGCATGTGATTGTCTTAATAAATCCTTATTGTTAATATGGTTTGCATATTACCCTCCAGTTAAAGACAACATAGCACATACATCAAGAATACGGGGGCGCTGGACCAATACCACTCAGCATAAGAGTGGTTTGGTGAAGAAAAAAGACAATCCTGCATTCCAGCAGACACTTAAGCTGGCTCCCTCATCCTCACTGATAACATAATATTTAATGCCAGGGGTGCCTGGGTGGCTCATTCAGTTAAGTGACCAATTCTTGGTTTTGACTCAGGGCATGATCTCATGGGTCATGGGATCGCACCCCATGTGGAGCCCTGGGTCCGGCTCCGTGGGGCGTCTGAAAATTCTCTCCCTTTGCCCCTCCCCTCACTTGTGCTTGTGCACTCTCTCCCTCTATCTAAAATAAATAAATAAACCTTAAAAAATATTTAATTCCAGAAACTGGTACTTTATAAACTTACATATTTAAAACGAAAGCATAGTCAAAGCCCGTAAGAGGAAGCAGACATTACTTCTTTATAATATATACTTAAATATACTTCTATAATTCTTTATAGAGTAAACCAGGAGAGGTAACTATAAAATATTATTGTCTACATCCCTGCCACTAACTTACGTTTTGCAATGAGAGATGTCTCCTCAAGAAAAATACAGCCTGGTGAAAATTTGTCTGTAAAACGAAATAATTATGATGGAAACCGGCTATCCTTCCTTAAATGATGTTTCAGGAATAATAGATCTGCCAGAGATTGCTAGCAGGGATGTCACAGCCTTTTTTCTTTTCTTTTTTTTTTTTTTTAAGATTTTTATTTATTTATTTCAGAGAGAGAAAGAGAGAGTGTGCACAAAGAGAGAAGCAGGCTACCCGCTAGGGCTCAATCCCAGGACCTCAAGATCATGACCTGAGCCGAAGGCAGATGCTTAACTGGCTGAGCCCCCCAGGCGTCCCAGTCACAGCCCTTTTCTTTTCAGTGTTTGCACGCTGCAAAATCGTGACCTCAGAGCCATTGCAGTGTATCTGCTTCCAGAGGGGCTGGGTGTTTGCACTCTGCAAACAGAACTTTCTCCCCCCCCCCCGCCGCCCCACCTTGGTTCTCAATGTATGATAGGTTACTGGGGCCATGCTGGACCACTTCCCACAGACAGCTTATGATGTGACACGAGGCCCCTTCTTCGGTCGTGCAAGTCTAAAGCTTTGTTTGATTCCTGTCAGGGCCACAATTTATCACCTTACCTTTTTTTATTGAAAGTTCCAACCACCTTTGTGCAACTGGAGTTGTCTCCCCCACACACGGCACACTTGTCGTACTGCAGCTTCGAGCCGATAATACCGTCACAGCCAGTGCGGACGCACTTGCCCCGGACACAGACGGAGTTACTGTATGGCCTGCATTCAGTCCCATCCGTCACCTGAATAACAAGGACCCCATTAGCGGTGGGAAGACACCTGTGCACAGGTACTTGGTTTCCATGGTAAAACAGCAAGTTCTAATTTGTGGAGTTTTGTGTTTGACTGGGATAGTGCATCGAAAAATAGATGACCAACCCCAAACCATAGTGCCCTGAGTATCTTTTTCATTTTTTTAAGATTTTTTTTAAATTTATTTTTTTGACAGATCGAGAGAGCACAAGCAGGGGGAGCAGTGAAAGAGAGAGAGAAGCAGGCTCCCCACTGAACTGGGATCCCAATACGGGGCTCGATCCCAGAACCCTGGGATCATGACCTGAGCTGAAGGCAGACGCCTAATCATCTGAGCCACCCAGGTGCCCCTGCCCCAGAGTATCTAACTGAAAAATCCTTGACGTCTTGGCAGTAGCAGATCTGAGATAAATCTGGGTTATGCCCTTTCTCTCTTGAGCTTAATTCCAAATATGCCAGGAGACCCAAGGTATTCATCTTGCTTTCTGCATGCAGAGCACAGTCCCCTGGTATGCTCTTGCCTTTGTACATTGATAGAAACAATCATTTCACTTAGCCTGGGGGACTTGTCACTTGTGTGGAGAGCAGAAAATGAGCAGGCTCAAGATCTCTGAGATCCCTCTTTGTGGCATAACTGTTACTATAGTAATACATTTGAGAATCTGAACTTGACGTTCAAAACCTTCTTAATGGCTGGAAAGCATTCCCTATCACGGGCTGAACTGTCAGATGCTGAAATAGAGACCAACAAATTAGTGTAGAAAGAGTCTGGGGAAGTCAGAGGGAAGTACTTACTGGGAGACACGGAATATATTTTGAATAAAGGAATCACTATATACTTAAAAAGCTAGTTATAAAAGAGTGCATATACATATATGGACCCTGTAGTTTGTGCATGTGAGTATATATAAGTAACATATGTAGTCGTATATGTAAATAAACTGAGGTGTTTTGTATACAATTCTTTTCATATGTAAGTATTTGAGTGTGTATGTGTGTGAACTAAAGTAGGGTGTACTTCAACTGGCTCATAGCTCTCCAGATGGTGGCACTGGCAGGTGATATTTCTGCTCTTATTCTTTGTCACATCTTTTAAGTGACAATGTATTAGCTTGCAATAAAAAGATAAAGTATTTTAAAAATTATGTAAGTTGGACGTTAACTTATTTTTCAGTCATATTTCATACAAATCCGAAGGTCCCTTTCAGAGGTGATTTGAAATGTAGCACCTGCTTACAAATTAGATAAACAGTATTTTAAATTGCTGCATAACACTGATTGTGAGAAATAAAACTGTTAGTAATTTAGAAAATGCTCTCCTGTGAAAAATCAGGGATAATTTCATGTGCATATATTGTAACGTCTATAACTATAGGGACATTGATTCATATTAAGGGTGCAAGTCATTTAAAGGTTTGGATCAGAGATGATGATCTTGAAACCCATCTTCATAAATCACCACAGGAATTCTTAATTAAATGATACAAAAGTAGAAAGTTTTCTTGCTTTTAGTTTCCCGTACAAACGTATCTAGGAAATTCTAGTTGTTTTCATGGCAATTTTGAAGTGAAGGTCACACTTCACCTTCCCTGACAGAGAGTTACAACTTTTCAAAAAATAGCTTTTAAACCATTTACTTGTTTTGTTTAGAGCATAATTTTTGTTCTTTGTATAAGGTTTGCAAATATAGACACTATAGAGATGAAAATAAAACCCTCCAAAATCTAGTCAGCCAATAAACAATGACTGTTAATATTTGGTATCTCTAGGCTTTATTCTACCAAATAATTTCCCGCAAGGAAGTCTACTGTTTCTGGACAGTTGGTGTGCAATTACCTTTGGAGAAAACACCACGTAGTAACCGGTGCCCTTAGCTCTGCAGGTCAGTTTGCACACGTCCCCCAGCAAGACGCCTGCATATTTGGGAACCCATTCCACAAATGTTTTGACTCCTTTTGCGTCAGACTGATACCCATTTTTGGCCTCACACTGCTCGTGACGAAAAGATTTACCTAAAAAACAAACATGTCATGTTATTACTTTGTCTATTCTGAAACTTAGACAGAATCTTGTGCATTTTAAGTAATTTTAACAGGAAGATGCGAACTTTATTTTTCAGAGCCTCTTTACACGCCAGCATTGGATTTTATCTGTACACAGGAGTTGAAAGCAACTATTATTTTCTTCCTACTCTCTAAATACCTAATTGTTTTTAATAATAGTTTAAAAAAATCACTCATGTATTTGTTATTGATTTGCACACTGGTGGAACTGTGTAGTATGAGATTAATAGGTTATTTCTCCAGCCTCCTTTATTTATTACTGCTAGAATACAAATTACACGTGGCACAAGGTGGTTGCTGACACTTGGGAGCAGCGTACCGTTCGGTGGGCAGGGTATGACGTTGCAGGAGCGGTAGATGGCTCTCTTCCCCGTGCAGTAACGGCCACTGTTTCTGGGTGCGGGGTTATTGCAGTGCCGATGGGCAAACTGTACTCCTCCCCCACATGAGCGAGAACACTGGCCCCAGGACCCCCAGGATCCCCAGTTGCCATGGCTTGATGTCTGAAATAGAAAACAGAAGACATTTTAACACAGAAGGGAGAAAAAAAGAACTTTCAAAATGCACATTTGGAAATCACCCGCATTCAATGCCTTAGTGACAACCCCATCACAGGTATAAATTTTCACTGAATTGAACATGGCTACAGATATTGGACATTCTGGAATTATTGTGTAATTCCAATTCTAAGCGAGTCATCTCTTCTGCTCCCTGCTGTCCCCCGGCACCAGGATCTGAATGTTTCCCTGGCAGTACTGAGCACACAGGTTTCTCTGCGCTTTCTGATACGGTGCATTTCTGTTAACCACTTGAACCATAGCTAACTTTCTGTCAACTCTGATCCTTCATCTTTGACAAAATATATGATGCTAAAGATTTCGCATGATGCTGGAAGAGTTGGTTCTATTTACATTTTTTTTCTCCCTGTTTGGCACTGATGTTCTGCATCGTTTTGTTGATATCACACATCCCATCAGACAGACCCTCCCTCACATGCATAAATGTATTTGACCTGAGTTGGGCTTCAGTCCTCATTAGACCAGAGTCCTTTTCCGTAGAGAGGGAATGTGACAGATATTGAAGTGCACCCACCCCCCCAGGCAAACATCACGAGCGCCCACACCACGGGGGAATAAAAGACTCTAGGTCTATCATTCTGGAAACATGGTAGCAGGAAGCGGAGAGACTTCCAGAGGGAAGAATATTATAAACTCCTTTGCTGAAGGACTGGGTGAAGAACTTCCTGGGGCTGCTGTCAGGGTATCTGAGAGTGCACAGTTGTGGGGTAATCTTTTTTTTAAAGATTTTTTATTTTTTATTTGACACAGAGAGCACAAGGAGGGGGAGCAGCAGGCAGAGGGAAAAACAGGTTCCCAGCTGAGCAGGGAGCCCTATGCGGGGCTTGATCCCAGGACCCCGGGATCATGACACGAGCCGAAGGCAGACGCTTAACCTTGTCTGAGCCACCCAGGCGCCCCATGCGGTAGTCTTGAAAGACATGAGCATTGTGCCCTGTGTCAGTGCTCTCCTCGGGACTTTGAAACTCAGAGGAGAGCCAGCAAATGCTTTGCTTGGGCCTCTCGAGGAAACATATTTGAACCAGGAAAGAAAGCCTTTCTGAGATGGTACCCACATATGTCATAGGAATGGACCTCAGATCCCGTGTCTCCAGGCATTGCGTGACAAGCAAATCACTTACTGAATAATATTTTTTCTTGGTTTTGTCCACACACTTGCCCTGTAGGCAGATCCTCCCTTTCCCACATGGTGTCCCCTCCACAGCTGGCAGTTTCTTGGTGAGACACACCATCTGGCCCTGGCGCACGACGGCGCACCAGAGGCGGGCGCAGACATCCATGCCGGGGCACACGGAGTACTCGGGCCCAAAGGTCAGGTTGCACTGCTGCGTGGCGTCGTACATCTGTCCTGGCAGTTCTTCGGGGCCCAGGATCTGCTTGCGTGGTAGATCTAGCAAACAGTTACCTAGAAGAATAACCGAGATGGACCACTGTTCCGTGTTTCGGTTTCAAATTAAGAAAATCGTGGATCTGAAAATGCAGTGCTCCAGGTGCTGTGGGAGCGTCATGCACCCACAGATCTGCAGGCTGAAGCCCTGGAGGAGGGACTCCCCCGGGCAAGGAGGGGGGACTCCCCAGGGAAGGAGGGGGACTCCCTCCCGGACGGAGGGCAGCACCTCTTTGCGTTCACCAACCCCCTCCGTGCTTTTCTTTTCTTTCCTTTTTTTTTTTTTTTAAGATTTGATTTATTTGACAGAGAGAGACACAGCAAGAGAGTGAACACAAGCAGGGGGAGTGGGAGAGGGAGAAGCAGGCTTCCTGCTGAGCAGGGAGCCCCATGCGGGTCTCGATCCCGGGATCCTGGGATCATGACCTGAGCCGAAGGAAGACGCTTAAGGACTGAGCCACCCAGGCGCCCCGCCTCTGGGATTTTCAATGGGCTATGTGCTCTGGGGCATAGCTAATGATGGCAGTGGGATGATCAAATAAAATTATTTTGTAAAAATTAGTTATGAAAATAGCCATTGTGCTGAGGGACTAGGAGAAATCGGGATGGACCTCCAGGAAATAATATAATGGTCATAACAACAACAGCAACAACAATAATAGTAAATAAGCATTTACAACTCTAAGAAACAGTTTATCCATGTGCTCTATTTATAGGCTTCTTCACTTTCAGCTTTTCTCTTCCTCATGTGCCCACCCAAGTCTCCTCCCCATTAATTCCATAAATAATAACAAGGCCAGACCTCATTCCTTCTTGCCCTCAATAAGCATTTGGTCACACCTACAATGTTCTAGGAAACACACTAGATATTGGGAAAACACAAAAATGACCCAGATCCACCCCCACCCCCCAGGGTCTCCCAATAAAGTGGAGAAACATTTCCTCTAGACTTATGTGAAATATAGTAAAGAATTCAAGAGTCACAGAGTAAAGGAGCAGTGGGCAAAGAAAAGACATTATCTTTGGGGGATGAAGCTCATCTTTTAATCCTTCTTCTTTGTCGCTATTTGGGTCTGTTCTTTAATGCAACTAGTAGTTGTTGGGTGCTCGACGTATGTCACACCAATAAGTTGGTGTTCTCCTTACATAATACGGGGGGTATAAAGGAGTGAGTTTGGGGGGATCAATAGAAGTGAGCACGCATGAGGGCAATGCAAATTCAGAAGATGATACGTGCCTCCCCTCCCCTCAAAAGCTTCCCTAAGAATCCCTGACCTGTGGTTAACACCATGAATTTTCTCTGGGCCTATGGGAGCATGCACATTGCCCATCAGTTTCTGCCCATTTTTGTTTATTTGGGATTTTGGGATTTGCTCATTAACTATTCAGAGTACTAAAAATAACAAATATTTGTTACACATTTACACTATTCTCCCTTTCTTAAATGTATTCACTTATTTAATCCTCACAAGAACTCTACAGAGCAGATTCTAGTACTTTCCTTATTTTACAAATAAGGAAACTGAGAAATGAAAAAACAGGTCACTGAGCCAAGGTCACAGAGCTATTAGGGGTTTATGCTCAGAGCCTGCTTTCCTCATCATATACCATCTCGCTTCTGCTCTGCATGTGGATAGATCTCTTGTTTTATTGCTGACCGGGAAGGTGTGTGTGTGGAGGGATCCTTTAAAGGGTGGATACCGTGGCTAATGGTAGAAACACCCAGTCTAAAGTCTAATTCTGGTGAAACCCTAAGTGGCTGAGTGTTCTTGACCAAGTCAGTTAACCTCTCTCTAAATGATTTTCAAGCTCTGTGAAATGTTTCTCTTCTCATTGTGACACTGTAAGGGTAAAAATAAGAGATATAGAGGGTGACCAGAAAAATACAAAACAATCACAGTTGATACTATGCTCAACGTATTCAACAATTTTAGACATATTAGAGTCATTCTCTTTACCTAACAAAAGAAAATCACATTTCAATCCTACTTTCCACCGAGACATGGAATAGTCAGCATGTTTTAAGTATATTGCAAACATTTTCACAACTATATTCAAGTTTCTTCAAAGTGAATGCCTTAGAACTTGTCAATCTGTGATGGAAGCATTATATGAAAATGAATACAGAGCAGAGTTCCTATTTAATTTCTGAGCCAGAATCTTTGAAGAGGTAAAGCTTCTGAAGGCAAGCCAGAAAAAGCATTAAAAGTAAGTATCCAGCCAAAGGGAACTTTGGGAGAAAAACATCAAGTTAAAAGAAAAACAACATCGAGTCAATAGGAAAGAATGACAGTAAACCTTCACTAAGCTTTGTTTAGGAGACGGTAAGATGAAGCACCAAGAACTCCGTGAGAAGTGTTATCTCACTGTTACATAAAATAAAAAAAAAGAAGACTCTATAAACCAGGGAAGGCTTGACAGATTGCTGATGTTACAAGATTGTCAACAAATCTCTGAGACAGCAAGAATGCTCTCCAATTCTTCACAAGTGCTGTTTTAAGAAACTTTTACTAAAAAGCACAGAACCATTAAGACTGCGTCACTTAAGGATTTGCCAGGAAGTTTCTAACTTGTGTGGGTGCACGTGGCATGGGTCTACCTTGTTTGTCTCGAGCCAAAATAACTCACCACCGCTTTGTGGACTTATAGTCACTGACCACATTCTACCTCATTATGACATGATGGGCAGAAAGAAATGTAGAATTCAATTTGAAATCAACTTATAACAAGGAGACTTCAAAATGTGGCATCTCTTTAAAAAGCTTAATACCAAAGTATAAGTTTTGTTCTGCTTTTGTTGATTTGACTATAGCTGACCCATGATGTTACATTAGTCTCAGGTCCAAAGTGTAAGTTTTAAAAATGAATCACACATTTGCTTTGCTTTGAAAGATACTGTATCTCAGCTCTATGGTTTTCCCTTAGAGGTCACCTGGGGATGACTTCCTGCTAATAATCAAATGATTTATTTCAGAATTGCCATTAACTTATTATTCCAATGTTCTCATCAGGATTTGTTGCTGCATTAGTTTCTATTTACCCTGAAACATACAGCCTATCAATTTCATCAATACATTGAATTATGTCCTTTTGCAATAAAATAGGTATAGATGTCTCTCGCAAATGGAATGCCTTCCATTGTTGTACTATGGAACAAAAATAAAAAAAAATGAATCTAGAGCCCGATTCTGAATCTCATGGTGTGAAATATTTAAAATCTAATAGTGAACTGGATATACATTGTCCATTTTTTTTTTTTTAATGTTACAGTTTGGGGGAAGAGTGAAAGAGACAGATCTGTCAATCTTTCAGTATCATTTGCATTGAGCTCTAAAAGCAGCCAGTCTCCTACTGACTTTTCTTAATCTGCTTGGCCTTTAATTTCAACCATTTCTTCCTATCTAGTTCACATATTTTTCACTTCTATCTGGGCTTTGCTACCTACATTTTGCCTGCTTGTTCTTTTTCACAAATTGCCAACTTGTTTTTTCTTTTCCTCCCTGCTTCCTTCTTTTCTTTTGTTTTAACGTTTCCTATGTATAAAAATGGATAGTTTCCAAAAGAAAGACAACAGAAGTGTGCTCATAATGCATATTTGTTTTTACCGTGTTCAGTTAAATGCTTAAAGGTGAAAAATTAAAAAGTAAAAGGCAATGATGTGTGACGGAGAAACAAAGGAAAGAAAGCGGAAGTCACCCCACGGCCACAGAGTGCACTAAGGGTGATGGAAGGCACGCCAGACCTCCGGGAAATGGAACAGAAAAATCGCTGCCTTTTTTGTATCTGACGGCCAGCACTGTTTGTCCTTCATTTTCATGATTAATGAAAATTATCAGATCAAAGTTAGTTGTTCTCTAGTCTTTTCATATTTTCTTCTCTGTTTCCAACACTATGGTTATTTCTGTCCTCTCTTCCTGTCCAGTACACATGCACGAAATTAGGCATCGGCCCAAATATCCACAGCATATCAGAAATCAATTTCTATTCCTAATGAAACTCGTCCATTGCAAACTGTCCCCTTTTACTTCCAAACATATCTCCCTGGCCTGGCAACTCAAAGTTCTTTAGGTCTTCATTTGAACGGCTAACATAAAAGAGAAACTGATGCATTACGGGCCAGGTAGCAGAGAAAATTTAAGGGCATTGAAATGTACAGAGCATGGTTGCTGAACCAAAAGCAATCGGGGGGGGGGGATCTGTTTGTGAAACCGTCACAAGCTTTAAGGGCCCTTTTAGCAAAGGTAATGCCAAGGAAATTAGATGGAAACGTCTCCTTGTTAAAGGATGAAGCATAGTTTTTTTAAAAACACAGGTCACCATGTCCTTAAAATATATGTCTTATTTGCAGATTCTTCCAAAGGCACATTTACTGTGAATGAGTACTACCTTAAAAACTGAATGTTAAGATCTTATTTATTACCAGCCTATAGTCTCCACAGACAAAGGATTCAGGGAACTGGGTTTCTAATAGCATTTTATCTCCAAAGTTCTGTGTTTAGTGGATGGGTGTAAACTTATCTCTTTAAACATGCTGCACGTTAATATTCCAAAGTTGTTTCTAGATTTTCCTTAGCAGTCTGCGTCAAGAGGGTTCTTGGGCTGTGCCTGTTTGGGAGGTGGCCCTTCTCATTGTGGCACCGTGGACTTAGGGATATAGCAGATGTGGCTATCTTTCTTGGCTTCAAGGTTATTAACATTTGAGAAAGGAAATTCAATAACCTGCTTTCACTGCACAATTTCCCTGCCAGTTCTTACCTTTATTTCTGAGGCCTCTCCAGCTTGCCTAGAACTAACTTGTATAAACACTGCAGAATGTCTACAAGTATCTTGGCAAGGCTGGTGGCGGGGGGGGCGGGGGGGCAATGTTTCCCCTGAGACATGGCTCTCCTTTTCTGAATCGCAAATCTGCAAGCACAGTTATTTTAGTGTGCACGTGGACTTTTCAACCATAACCGAATTGCTACATAGTTCTTGGAACTAAATCAGGAAACACTCCGTATTAATGAATTTAAATTTGGCAGTGGGAGAGTGCTACAAATGTCCAGCTACTTATGGCTAATAATTTTAAAAACAAATCAAATGATTTGAATTTAATTGTGCTTTAAGACGTCATTTCTCTAGTGCCGCCAGAGGTGAGCGGGAGACAGATGAGCTATTAGCCATAAATGGATTTTCCAGATAAGGTACTCTTTAGGTCCCATCGAAAAATTGTGTAAGTTTTGTGAGAGTATCTTCCTTCACCATAGCAATGGCTTTGCTGTCTTTATATTAGTGCCACAATTTAAGTTTCCTCAATAATTGCAAATCACGTTTTTTTCTGAGTATCGATGATGGTATCATGTGGAAATACAGAGATACCTTCAGGGATCATGGTGGTGTGATACCACTTTTGACCCTTTGGGAAAAGGAGCCAGACCTCTGAGCTTTCAATAATTCAGGGCTACACATGACAGCTTTTCTGGTTTCTCCCTTATTGTCAAATGATACCCCTCCTCGCTCTCTGTCTCTCTGTCTAAAGTGCACCCCCAGACCCCCGTGCCATGACTCTTTCATTGCTTAAAATTGTTATGGCCTAGAAAATTAGTACAGAAAAATAGTAGAACCATTTCTATTAACTCTGAATGAATGGGCTCAGGATGGAAGTCTGAGTCATTTCCTACCAGCAAAGTAAAAGGGTTTTATCATATGGTTTTTTGGTATCAGTCCAGTCTTCCAAGAAAGATGTGTTTGTTTGTTTTCCTTTCCTCTAGGACTTTGATGTTCTCCCCGGTTCTCTCCTAAGCTCTGAAGATGAAATGTCAGAGCCTCAACCATCTCAAAAATCGTGCTTACTAGTTCCTATCACCACACTTTCACTTAAACTGACTTAAGTTAGTTTTTTGGTGGCAGGGTAAAAGTTACTAAATTATTTGAATTCACATTTAAATGACAGTGCTTAAGCGTACCACTGTTTCAGTATCTCTGAGTGCTGTTTTGAAATGAGCATAATTGAGCTTTGCTAACCCTAACTTTGGTTCTATTGCCTTGTTTGGCTCTCCATATTCTGAAATGACTTTATTCATTATAGGCTACTGATAAAATCACTGTGTGTGTGTGTTTGTGTGTGTGTTTGTTATAACACAAGACTGCCTAACCAACATATAAAAAAGTGAGAGAGTCTAACCTTGATGAAATGAGTTAATTAATAAGTAGGCTCCTTAAGAATTTGTTGTTCCAAGAATTTTGCTAATTTAATCAACTTATTTAACATGTACATGGGAAACTCAGAAAAGATTGTATTAGTGCCAGTGAATAAAATCTATGTCTACTAAATGTATGTTCTTTGGTTGTTATCTACCATGAGGATCTCTGGAATGGATATAGTGAGATGTATAAAATATGCAAATTTGTTGCAAAATTTTAAAAAGCTGAGTGTGGACTCTTAAATACAGAAGTAATGCTAAGAAATGAAGACAATACTGAAAGCACATTTACTGCACAAAAAGTAAGATCATGAATTCCACAAACATGAAATAAACGAATCATTCCAAAATTATGGCAATAAGGAACAAAATTCTGCACAGCATTGTAATTAGCTGACCTAATACTTGCACAGGAAAAAAAAATTGGTCCCATTTTAGCCATAAGTATTTGCTGCCTTAGCAACTAAATCCATTCATTTAGGGATTCAAAGTTTAGCTCAAACTTTTGGAATGTGTAATGTGTGATACTGAAATAAAATATTAATGTTTCTTTTTCAGAAAACCTGAATAAAAGCAGCAAAAGCAGTATTAGGAGTGGAGAGTAGGGCTCCACCCAAAAGGGCCTTTATTAGATATTTGACTTGATTAATGTGGACAGGGAGATAATTAGGTAAACATTCATTACAGGACTTTATCAGCATTAAATCAGCATTGTAAAGTGAGCTACACAGAAAATTATCACTTATTGTTAGTCTAAAGGAAGAGCCCAATACATTGATTCTTAGATTTTTTTTTTTCTAAATCTTTGAGCTATTGGGATGTCCTTTCAATAAACAGAGAACAGTTTATATTGAGGGAAATTGTAAACTAGGCTAGGCATGGATTGTTTTCAGGAATAGGGTATTTTAAAAAAGTTTAAAGTAGTTAAAACATTACCAGTTCACCACTAATGTAGCAAAACTGAGTTAATGAACAGATTTTTCCTCCGAGAGACCAAAGAACTGTGTGACAGAATTCTTTTTTTTGTCTGAAAAGAGTTGAATTCAACAATTGTTTTGACATTACGCAGCCAAAGTTCAAGGTGGCCACCGCACTAAGATATTATGAAATATTAGGCCATAAACCTTGTGGAACTAGGAAAAACAACTATCACAGACTCCCTTTAGCCAACTTTAAACCATACAACATGAGATAATCTTATGGACAATTATTATGATCAAAAATTTCTGTTCATATTCGGTTCAACCGCCAGTTTTGGAAAGAGAGAAAAAAAAGGAATGAGAATATGTCCATTTCTATAACATGAGAAACTTGAACTACATGGTGTGTGTAGTTGAACCACTTCAATTCTAATGAATCTATCCTCCTGTGCCCCTAGCAGTTTCAAGTCATAAGGGATGCTAGGAAATTAGCAACAGCTTGTTTTGAAGATTACTTAACGGTCAGAATTTATTATTTCTAAAAACCGCGACTTCTTTGGTATTTTTATATAATTTACAGGACTAATCCTCGATTTGCAGAATTTAATAAAGTAGGTTATGCTTTTGAACTGTATCTAGTGGACAAAGCCAAAGATTTTCTTTTGAAGTTCTTAAAGTGTTTTCCCACTATTCAGATTGATTTTTCTTTTTCTGTTCTGCAGTTTTCACTCTCCTTTCAGGAGAATCTGCTGTCAGGATAAAGCCAGATTCTTCCAGTGAATGCAAATCTAAAGAGCTTCCTTTCCTGGTTTTCTGTTGCCATGAAGAGGATCCGACAGAATTGTCACCTACATTTTAACCACACCCCTATAATAGGCATGTAACAAATAATTCTGAGCGTCATATTAATAGCAGGGAAACAAGATGTCTGCCAACATTCTCACAGGAAGCTAGTGGTGAAAGGCGGAATAAAAGCCAGGCTTTCAGGGCACTGGCTAGGCATTCTGTGTGGTCTCCCACACTGCTTCTCTTTTGAACTTCTCAATTCCAAAGCAAAAATACCATAGTTATAATACCACCAAGGACGTTGGCATTCTATACCAACAGACCGTCCCTCTGCTCCTTCCCTGACCCTATCTAAACAACCACTGTCTCAGGGGGCCTGCTGCTTCGTGAGGATGTCATAAAGTAGCACTGGTAATGATCCCACCCCCCCACCCCCCTGCCAAGTGTTGTTACTGAGCCTGTGTTGTCTTAAATGATACATACCGTGGCCATCATCCAGGAATTCTGTGATGGTGGCTGAGGTGCACTTGGACCAGGGCTTGGATGCATCGATGCTGGTTAGGATGGAAGACATTAAGCGCTTATCTTCGGTGGAACCAAAATTCTCTTCACAGAATTTGGAATCATCATGGGAGAGGCCAAGGAGATGTCCTAAAGCAGAGAAGAGAAGGAATGCAATCATGGGTGATTTTGCATTTCTACTTTTCCATGACAATTACATGAGCACTTGGTTTCCCACCTCGGGCCCCCCCTCCAAGCTGTACATGAGTCCATTTTACTGCCTTCTCATGCACAGATTGGACCCCCAGGGAAATTAAAGCTGTGTGTAGTCAGAGCAGTCACTTTGGGTGAACATTCAGGGGAAAACTGAGAAATCACACTAAGGAGTGGATGTTCCCATAATCCATCTGGATCACACATGCCCAATGACATGTAGAAACAGGCCTTATTTAGAATCCAGAATTTGCAAGGCAACTGTGGGATTATGTCATAGCCTCACTACATATTATTTTGATTACTTGTCTAATTTTCCGCCTTCTCTGATCAACCATGAGCCCCATGAGATCAGAGAGCATCTCCTCCATCCACTGTTGAAATCTCTGTGTTTAACTCAATGTTCTGCAAGTTGCAAACACTTAATAGATGGTTTTTGAATATCAGTGACTTCTATTTTCTTGGCCAAGTTAATAGGTAGCTAGCTATCCGAGAGATGACTAGGGGGGAAAAGAAAGAGAAATGAACTCGCCGATTCCAGGCAAAGGTAAGCTTGCTTTCACCCTTTCAATTCTTTCATTTGGAAATTTCTGCATGTTGATTAATCCCACAAATAAGTAACATATTTTGAAAACATACCCATTTACATTGAAGAAATGTCTAAAATCCTAAGAAGCCCATCATGGAGTGTTAGAGCTTGAAGAGAAAACAATACTAGAAAGGTAAGTCATTGTCCAAAAGCACTCAGCGAGGCGGGTGTTTCTGCTTCGGCCCACCACACATGGTTTCTGTAATCCCACACTGCATTTCCAGTCTATCAAGCTAGGTATCCTAACCACATTCTTATTATCAAAATTGTTTTTTATCATATAAGATTAATTTTCATACAGTCTAAGGATAAAATGACATTCACCAGTAAATCTGAAACGCCAATTAAAAAAAATTCCAGGACAGTAGTTTGTAGAGACTCTAAAAAAGCAGACAAGTAGACCTTAGTTGCTTTTTTTTTTTTTTTTTTTGGATAAAGCTTTATAGAATCATACACAAAGCATTAAAAAGGGTATATAAAATACTACAGAAAAGTGATTAATGCATTCTCTTTAGGCTCCTGTATGCCAAAAGCAGGGGCTTTTGGCCATTCTGCCAAAAAAGAAAGTCCAGCATGCAACAGTAAAACTCAACCGAGATGAAATCTTTCATGCCACATTCCAACTACTTTTGGCCAACTTGTTAAATCACCAACACCTCATAACAAAATTGTCCACTGAGCAGCTGCTTGCTGTTGTGGCTGAAATTAAGTGGCTAGGGCTCGGTGACCTTCCAAAGCCCCACATTTTTATGGTATTTATGCAGTTATTTACTTCAATAGCATTTGCCAGCCTAGCAAGTTTTCGATGGGAAACCCTCCTGCTCTCACATTTTATTTGCTCAGTAGCACAAATGTGCATCAGAGTTTGTGAAGTAAGTCCCAAATCACATGCAAAAGACTGGCAGGACTTTGTCCAAGTTTTGGGTGGTATGTTGATTTTTTTCCTGCAACCCACAGCTCAGAAAAAAACAGAACCTTTCATCATGCCCTGTTCAAAATGGCTTAAAGTTACTTAGTACATCTAACACGTGTTGAGAAGGCATCCCGTGCTTCTTGAACTTTTCCACCGTTGAACCTTTATCGGCTAACACTGTGGGATTTGTGTGGAAATTTCGCACTTGGGCTTTTTTCCCTGGCATAGAAAAGAGAGAGGGAAAGTGGCCTAAGGCGACCTCTGCCACATAACATTTATTTGAATCCAGGTTTTATATTTTAGAAAAATGTGATTTTGCACTCTAGTTCGTAAGATATTCATACTTATTTAATGAAGCAACAGTCTTTTCCTCCAAATGTATCTAAAAAATAGCACTTTCCAGATGAGTATTTTTAAGACTTTATTTATTTGAGAGAGAGCGAGAGATTGAGAGAGAGAGAGCATGAGCAGGGGGTAGGTACAGAGAGAGAGAGGGAGAGACAGACTCCCTATAGAGCAGGGAGCCTGACATAGGGCCGGAATCATGACCTGAGCTGAAGGCAGATGCTTAACCAACTGAACCACCAGGTGCTCCTAGATGAATTTTTATTATAGCATCCAAGTGATTTTCACTTCATTTGGAAGGTAAGTTTCAGATTTCTGATTTAAAATACAGGCCATGCAGCAAACATCAGATTCGCTTTGAGAAACCTGGCAGAGTACCTCAATTTTTTCTTTCATACAGAATGGCGAGGCATCTAATTTTGTATAGATTTCAATGATATAAGCAAAGCTGTTTATTTAAACATATTTTGGTATAGTTTTATGAATCTTTTGGCATGTGACTTGGCATAATATCGTGAATTTTATACTACCTAAATGTACTAATTTATCAATGTAACTTAATTGCTGCCAAAGATGCATGTAAGAAATTTTTATATGGCAACCGGAAAAGATTGCCATTCTGAGAATGAACAAATCTTAGTTCCACCTCAGCAAGAGCTAAAAGAAGATGTGAATTTTGTCAGATCTGCAAAAGTGAGTCAGGAATGGGCTGCTTAAGGGTCAACTGAGAGACAGACTCTTTGGAGGAATGTTTTGTTTTCCATGAAGAAAGTCTGTCAGCTGGCTGGGAGAGGCATGCTCTCTCAAGGACAACGGGAGTCATGGTCAACGCGAAGAACATTTAAGCACCCACGGAAACAGGCAGCTGGTTCCAGTAGCTGGAACCAGGGCACAGTGAGAGAAACCCATGTGACTTCCCTTCAGGAGCTGGACAGGAATAAAATGGAAGATCAATGTGAGGAATGTTTGGATGCTCTTCAGGAGAGACGTGACAGCCATACTAAGGGCTGGGAACAGCAAAAGAGGTGGTTATTTTCAAATGTGATCACCCAGTCAGGATGCTAAGACATCTAATGTCAGTCTGAAATGCCCATATCTTTGAGCCCTGAAATGGCAAGGGACATATAAAACCACAAGCTATTTTAAAAGGACACTCACATTAGAGAAAACACACCACGATCCTAAAAGCTCATGAACTGAAAAATCCAGGAAATTTAAAATATAATGTTGTCGCTGACAGTAATACAGTTCAAGTAGGTGTCGTGAAAGGCTTAATCAGAATGTATCATGATGTTACCGATCTCCTAGGACATCCGCCTTTTCCAGTGAGAGTTGGCTGATCAATCACCCACAGAGATGTTTAAAATTACAGGGGTGGGTGGGAGACGAAGCGTTTCTCCGCTAAGCAGGCTCTAGCGGGATTAGCACAAATGGGATTTACACAAATGTGTGCCGGAGATTAAGACAGTACATGAAGAATATAAGGAATTGTTGGAGACAATATTTACACCCCCTAAACTAACTTGTTTTATCGAGATATATTTCAGGATGAGTTTTTGGAACAATACAGAGCAGAGTTAGTTGAGGGGTGAGGTCCTTGGAGGCGGGGTGACAGAGTCAGGAAACGCACAGAGAAAGGCAATTCAGATATTTCTTTCTCGAATCCATGTAGAAAAGAAGAGTGAAGGGGAGTCAGAGCAGTTTTGAAGGTAAGAGTTTTGAAGGAGCTCAGCCAAGCTCAGATAGTAAAACCCCTCCTGAGAAGAGACAATGCAGATACTAGATTTTTTTTTTTTAATTTTATTATGTTCTGTTAGTCACCATACAGTACATCATTAGTTTTTGATGTGGTGATCCACGATCCATTGTTTTCGTATAACACCCAGTGCTCCGTGTAGTGCGTGCCCTCCTTAATACCCATCACCGGGTGAACCAATCCCCTCTCCCCCCTCCCCTCCAAAACCCTGTTTGTTATAGTCTCTCATGGTTCATCTCTCCCTCCAATACTAGATTTAAGGCGACAATTTCCTGTCAGGGTTTCAAGTAGAGGCCCCAAGGTCCCGCTCTAAGGAACAATCAGTATTTGCATTTGGAAGAATTAGTATTTGTATTTGTACTCGTATTTTTATTTGCAGGTATTAGTATTTTGTAATTAGTCACATGCAAAAGATTGAAGAGCAGTTTGCTTTAAGCAATCTTGCTCAGGATGCTATCTTTCTTAGTCAATCTTTAATTCTTGATTGATGTAATTGGAAACTTCTCACCTCAAATCCCGAGGCAATGAAGGAACAAACGCACTCGAGTCGTGGGTGCACTTGTTAATGGCATTTGTGTTTACATACACAGTAAGAAAATAAAAGGTATTGCAGGAGTCAGGGAAACTCAGAGAATAATGAAACTGTGTAATCCAATATTTTCCCATGTGATGCAAACCTCAGAACTCTACCTTGCTTTTTGAAATCATTATTAAAAATCAAGGTGTAAATTGCACTTTTGGAGAAAATACTGATCTATTCTTAACAGATATTAAATCATATCACAAATACAACAGCCTTGCTAATGAGTGCCCATCACACAAAATGACATCAGGAAGGAATTTCTTTGGATTACATTAAGGACATGAGTTTCACAGTAAATTATGTCAAAGCAAAATCTATAGGGTAAGAGTCTGAATTATAGGGCGCCTGGGTGGCTCAGTTGGTTAAGCGACTGCCTTCGGCTCAGGTCATGATCCTGGAGTCCCGGGATCGAGTCCCGCATCGGGCTTCCTGCTCAGCAGGGAGTCTGCTTCTCCCTCTGACCCTCTTCCCTCTCGTGCTTTCTATCTCTCATTCTCTCTCTCTCTCAAATAAATAAATAAAATCTTTAAAAAAAAAAAAGAGTCTGAATTATATCGTTATCTCGGAACTAGCAAATAATGAGTCACCCAGTAATTTCTCTAGTATGATAATCGTCCTTTTAAAGGTCAATGGGTGACATTTCATTAAACACACTTCATCTCTGATATTCACAATATAGACTTAAAAAGTATCTTGCCTCCTTAAATTCACAAATGAATCACGTTAGATAATCAGAGATCATGTATACCAG